GGCTCGGGGTTAGAGGAGTAGCGAAAAGTACAGGAAGATGACAGATGGACGTGAGAGTGAACTGCTCGAATACCATCTGACAGGCTTTAAGTATTGTTCCAAGGGAGTGCGTTTGTTTTCACGCGGCGCATAGTGGCGTACATGAGTTCGACCTTGAGAATTATAGTGTAGAGCGCCTTACGCATATGGCTCTTGAACAAGGACGTCGCAAAGCAGCGTGACGGTGAACTCGGCATAGAAATGCCGGATCGGAGCTCAGTCGGCCTATGGCAAGGGGATCGCTTACCGACATAGCCGTGTGTGTGTGGTTGGCCTGATACTACTGTCAATGGTTTACTCAAGGCCGAATTAAATGTTAGCAGGCCAGTGCCACGGACCTTAATCTATCCAACCATCCCTGGAAAGATCTGATGTATTTGCGATATATTGCTGGTGTTCACCGAGAACGTCCTCAGCCCCAGGAGCTAATGGCGTATCTAGTCGGGTGGTACGGCGGTTGCCGCAATCACCCCGCTCAAGAATGGATATGATGCCAGTGTTCGTTGTACAGAGTGTTGTTGGAACGCTCGTTACCGAGTATACTGCGTGATCAGTCTAGTCCCTGTTTGTACGCATTGTGAAAAGGACGGTGCTTGAGTACCAGCTCTTCCAGGTTGCTCCCAAACAATGATCCACCTCCCTATTCACTCTTCCATTCTTTCACGCAGCAGTACACAATCAAGGCATAAGATGTAAATTGACTATAGACATGCAAGACAGCAACTCACAATGCATAAAACTCCATTTGCTCGTCTGACGACCATGCTGGGGAACTGGGCTCTCGTTGGATATTCTTAGCGGTGGCGGAGTTCGTTCCATGCAAAGGAGCTTATCCGTGAGTGCAGCACAGCACGACCGTCTGAATGCAAAGAAAGACAAGAAACAGATCTGATCCATCGCTCCGTGTTCGCCGTGACACACATCCTACAGTGAGACCGCTGTCGTTGATCGTAGTGCAACTCGTAGCCATTCTCCTCCGTCCCCCAATGGCTGTGCAACCTCCCCCGTCCGCGCTATTATTAATGTACTGGTTCGTGGTATCTCGTGGGTGTGGTTTAGTTCTTTTGCGTGGCAACGACTGTGTGTGTTAGCCATATGAAGGTCATCGTTGTTTATGTAGGATGGCTTACCAGAAGGAACGATAATGACGATGAGCAGGATGATGATGCCCACAATGAGGCACATGCGCATCTTCATGTCCTTCCACCACATCTGCTTGCGCACACGGTTGGCGCCCCTTCGGAAGCCCTGGGCGGACACGGCGAGGTTATCGGTCTTGTCCTGTAGCGAGTCTAGACGGGCTCCTCGCTCTGAGACCTTGTTGATGTTGTCCCGCATGATGCCAACGGTGCTGTCGATTTCCTGGCATACGAGTCAGCACGAGCTCACACATGATTTAAGCTTCTTTGAACCGCTCCTTTGCGCATGCATGTACGTTCGCCCATGTGCGCAAAGCGAGTGGAAAGGTGCAGCGAGGGTGCGAAGCAGTGTAGTCATTATCGCATCGCTGACGCAAGCTCTCTGCCGGTCGCTGCGGCTCGACCATAGGTGCCTTGCGAGGATGCGACAAACGACACAGCGCTCGCACCCTTACGTAGAAGAAAAAGGACAACATACCGCTTGGAGCGCAGCTGTGCGGTGGTTGCCATTCTGGCCCTGGCCGCCCTGCTGGCCACCGGCGCCGCCGCTGGGGATGTAGGGATCGTACGGGGGCTCTTCGCGGCTCGACATGGTTGGAGATGAAGTGTGCTGGAAATTCCGGGTAGCGTGCGACTTGCGTAGGCTTCAAGAGGTGGTGGTGATGGATAGGTGTGGGTGGTGAGGTGGTGTCTGGAGGATGGAGATGGTGGTGCGGTTGCCCAGAGGAAGACCAAGAGTCCGCTCAGCCCGGATGGCGAACGAGCGCAATGTGTCAGCTCCGTTTGAGCAGTGAGGCTGATGTTTGCGTGAAACCTGGCGCAACAACACGGAAATTTAATCTGTGAATGCCAATATGTCTGCGCAGTGTGCACAGTCGAGTCAACAGCGAATTTGATGTTCCAACGGTTATGACGGTATTCAATTCAAGTTGATGCGATCGCTGCCGTGCCTGCTTCCGGCCCCCATCTGGATCTGGGCTGCCCAGCCTGCGCCACTGCACGTGATGAACACCAGCCTCGCGATTACGACACTCTCTGGCCATGAGGCAACAGGTGCTGCACGATCCGTCATCGGTCCGTCTACACGCTCGAAAACTTCACAAGATAAATTCCACCTGTCCTCCATCTGTCGTCGATGGCCTTTGAAAGTAAGGATGTGACCATCGTCTCAGCCTCGATGTTACGAGGCCAATCTTATTGCTTACCAGACTTCCGTCCGCAGCTGCGGCGTGGCAACACGGCAATACGACATGCGACGAGAACAAAGACGGACCGGATTTTGACAAGACAATTACACTAAACGTAGTGTGCAGTCGGCGCTTCGTCATCACTGTCGTCGCCGCCGCCCAGCCAGATGCCCGCATCGTGACGTCTCTGCGCAACAAACAGAAGCAACAGGCGTCTTCGTTAACGAGACACATTATGCAACAGAAGAATCGTGCATTGTCGACAATAGAGTGTGCCTGCGTCGCTAGCCTATCAGGGCGAGAGGCATCCCCAGGCCTCACGCAGGCCAGGCGCCGTTTGTACCTGGCAAGTGGGTCTGATCGCCGCCAAGACGCGTGTCCAATGTCTTGAGTCTCGGTGTCTGCTACCCATTCGCCGCTCAGGAGTTCGCGCAACGCTTGCTCCACCGCCAGCTTCCTGTTTCCCGTTCCCTTCTCTTCGAACACACTCGCTGCACCGCTTCCTAATCGATAGACACCTCTAATCCCGTGTCGACCGCCGTGCCGTACACGCCCCTGATCCCCGTCGCTCCTTTCATACCACCCGTCAATCAACCCGACACTCTCTACGATACCCCACGTCAGAGCCAAGCCGCCTGCTGGCCTGAAAGCTTGATCATTTCAACACTACTCCTTTCGCGACACTGCGCAGTGTGTCTCCAAGCCTGGCGCTGGACCCTGGCTGCAACTGCCGACTAGACCCGACCCAACATGAAGCTCACCTCTGCCCTCGGCGCCCTTGGCGCCTCGAACCTGTTGTTCGCAAGTGTGGGCGCCGTCGACCTGGATATTAGCTCCCCAGGTGCGACTTCCTCAAGTCCGACGCCTGCAAGCACACGTACTGACATGTACAGACTCCATCAAGCAGACCGCCAAGTCACTCTCTGCGAACTTGCGCAAGTACTACACCGGTGACAACCCAGGCGACACACCAGGCAATCTCCCAGATCCATACTACTGGTGGGAATGTGGCGCCATGTTCAATGCCTTCGTTGATTACTGGTACTACACGGGTGATGATCAGTATAACAAAATCACCACCCAGGCTCTAGAGGCCCAGATCGGAGTGAACGCCAACTACATGCCTGATAACCAGACCAAGACGCTCGGAAACGATGACCAAGCTTTCTGGGGCATGGCCGCCATGACGGCTGCAGAGAACAAGTTTCCTGATCTTCCCGATGGCAAGCCTTCTTGGCTGTCTCTTGCACAGGCTGTCTTCAACACCCAATACAAGCGCTGGGACTTGTCGACTTGCGGTGGTGGTTTGAGGTGGCAGATCTTCAGCTTCAACCAAGGTTACAACTACAAGAACACCATTTCGAACGGTTGTTTCTTCAACATCGCCTCGCGACTGTACAAATACCTCGGAAACCAAACCTACGCTGACTGGGCTGAGAAGGCTTGGGAGTGGGAACTTTCGGTAGGACTTATGAGCCCGGACTACCACTACTACGATGGAACCGACGACACGCAGAACTGCTCAACCATCAACCATATCCAGTGGACGTACAATGCTGGCATTCACATGGCCGGTGCTGCTGCCATGTGGAACGTGTCACAGGACGAAAAGTGGAAGACGCGTGTCCAGGGTGTCATTGACGGTATCGACGTTTTCTTCAAGGACAAGGTCATGTCTGAAGTCGCCTGCGAGAACAACGGCAAGTGTGACGTAGACCAGCGTTCCTTCAAGGCCTATCTTGCACGTTCCATGGCATACACAGCCAGTGTCGCACCTTGGACCCGCGAACAGATTGACCCTTACCTCCAGGCATCCGCTCAGGCCGCGGCGAAGCAGTGCAACGGAGGTGATCAACAGACTTCATGTGGGCTCAAGTGGACCACAAATGGAGTAAACGACGGCAGCTTCGGTGTTGGTGAGCAGATGGCGGCCATGGAAGTCGTACAGGCGCTGCTCTACCCGTCTACCAGCGGTCCTGCGACTGCCGAGAAGGGCGGTATCTCCAAGAGTAACCCCGACGCTGGTAACGACGATAAGAGTGATGATCCTATCAAGTTTGATGTCGTGACCACTGGCGACAAGGCTGGTGCCAGCATCCTCACCATCCTCGTGTTGGTTTCCATTGTGGTCGGCGCCTGGTGGATGGTGTCATAGATGTTATACCCGTCTTCATTTTGTATATCAGCGCGCGCATTTGGGACTGTACTAGATCTTTCTGTTGTTCTTCATCGTCATTTTCCTTGGGCGCGATCAGGTTGCGGGCGCGTGTCACATCATAGCCAGTATTGACGTAATTTATATCAAAACCGCAAAGCACGTGTAATCTGACTCGTGAACTCAAGCAACGTTCTTCGTATCCGAATTCCAACGCAATCCATTCCAAGGTCCACGTTTTCACTTGGTGAAAGAACCTTGGAACCAGCCACGGCTCGGCTAATACCACGCTAGTGGCCTGTGCGTACGAAAGCTGCGCCCGACTCCTCTTTCCTTCTTCGCCGCGACAAAGATCTCTGCACACGACACACACCACCCGCGCACTCGACTCAACGGCGCCCTACTCACTTTCTTGTCGCTCATCAACATTGCTGCCCCAATTCATCTTTGAAACTAACCACCTGGTCGCGCGCATTTCCGATGGCCGCTCCCCCCGATCTCAACGCCATCCTGGCGGCGCTCGGTAGGTCGCTCACACTTTCACCACACTCGCGACGTTTGTACTGACTGCCCTTGTAGCTGCTGGACGTCCCTCGACTACCCCATCGCAGACGCCCCAGCAGCCTCCCCAGGCGCAACATGCCCCTCCCCAAGGCCTTCCCCCAGGCTTCCCAGGCGCAATGCCAACTGCCACCCCGCCCGCCATGCCCGGATACAACTTCCCTCCTCCCACACACTCTGGAAGTCTTGATCTCAGCGCTATCAAGCCCGTAAGCTCCGGCTCAGTCAGCATCCAGGATGCGCTGGCCAAGGCGCGTGGCTTTGCGGCTCAGAAGGGCCTTGCACACGAAGCGCGTCCAGGTATACCTGAGTCTTGGTCTGGTTATGGTGTCCCAGCGCAAACTTACACAGCTCCAGCTTATCAAGAAGACCCGCGACTAAGCGGACGCCAGCCCTACCGACGTTCTCGGTCGCGCTCGCGGTCCCCAGCGCGCCGAGAACCCGTGCGTGAAAGCTACAACCCATACCGCGATGAGCGTCGTGATGAGCGCCGAGGTGGCTATGGACGTGAACGTGATCGCTCTCCTCCTAGGCGTGACACCTTCTCTCCTTCGCAGCAGTACGGGCAAGCACGTTCGCCCCCTGCTAATGACAACTCTGAGGTGATTCTCATTGACTCTTCGTTGGTTGGCCTTGTCATTGGACGTCAAGGTGAGAGTCTCCGCCGCATTGAACAAGAATCCCAAACACGCATTCAATTCATCAACGGCCCCGAGGCTGGACCGCAGCGCGAGTGTCGTATAACCGGTAGCCCGGGTGCTCGTATCAGTGCTAAGCGCGAGATCAACCGCATCATCGAAGAAAATGGCGGCAATCCTGCTCGTGAGACTGGCCGCAATGCCCGACCCGCCGCTAAGATGGTTGGCCAACAACAGCCCGCTCTTCGTGAGGGTGAACAGTCGTCGCAAATTATGGTGCCTGATCGTACTGTTGGTCTCATCATCGGCCGTGGCGGTGAGACTATCCGTGATCTGCAAGAGCGCAGTGGCTGCCACGTCAACATTGTCGGTGAAAACAAGAGCGTGAATGGTCTGCGGCCTGTGAACCTCATCGGAAGTCCCACTGCTGCCGCACATGCCAAGGAGCTCATCATGGAGATTGTCGACAGTGACACTAAGCAAATGGAAGGTGGCGGTGCCGCCGCGCCGCCGCAGCAAGCATTCACCAGGCGTGATAACTTTGATCCCTACGGTGGAGGCGCTGCTGGAGGCGCTGGAGCTGGCAAGATCAATGATAGCATTCATGTTCCCTCTGATGCTGTTGGCATGATTATTGGCAAAGGTAATATCGCTCTGAATATGTTGTGTTTGTCGTATTAACGATTCATAGGTGGTGAAACTATCAAGTCCATGCAATCAGAGACTGGTTGCAAGATCAACGTATCGCAAGCTTCTGGCGCCGACATTGAGCGCGAGATCGGTCTTGTCGGAACCCGTCAAGCCATTGATGATGCTAAGCGAGCTATCTGGGAAAAGGTCGACCAAGTGGTAAGTTTGTTTGCTGTCTGACAGATCTGCACGGATGCTAATACGACGCAGCGAGAGAAAAACAACTCACGACGACGTGACAACGGAAACAACGACAATGGATACTCACACCAGCAGACACCTTCATATGGACAACCCGCCGCGGCCGCGCAGCCTCCTCAAGCAGCTGCACCCGATGCAAATGGCGCTGCTTCTGCTGACCCATATGCTGTCTATGGCGGCTACCAAAACTACCTTGCAATGTGGTATGCGTCCATCGCCCAGCAACAACAGGGCGGTCAAGGAGCCCAAGGACCTCCCGGCGCATAAGCGTCGCTTAGTTGCCGTGACCGATGCACATTTTGCTGAACTTCGCCGAATGCTGCCCTGTTTGCATGATCCGATTGCTTGGAACTTTGCTGCGCCTGGCATGATATCCACCCGATGACCTGGACTATCTTCGAAATCTTCTTCTTGACTTGCGCGTAGCCGGCCTCGCCTTGTTGCATGCATTACTATGCGCTGAGTGCTCATCCGTCAAAAGAGCCTCCTCTTCAGCCTCGGCTGTCACCGACATCGTAGCCTTTGGCTCGTTTTCACGGCTTCACTCTTGTCATCGCTGTCGCCTGCATTGTGTGAGCTGATCATCGCTTCGACTATGCTCTTTTCAAGGATGCCCTTTCTGCAAACCCTCACGTCCGCGCAACAAGTCGACAGCTGTTTGTTCTCATTTACGCCTGCTACATCTTGATCAGCAAGGCATGTTCTGGTCTGCCAGGTCGCACTCCCACATCTTTGTCTGCATGTCTATCACGGGCGTGCAATTGGTATAGACCTCCGTCATCGATCGACGTTGGTCTTCGAATCTTCCTCTTGAAGACTCTTCTACCACCAAAAAGCGTCACTTTGTTCTTCATGCCTGTATTTTCGCGCAACACACAAATCTGGACCTGCATCTGCCTTGGTTGGCAGTGACGTTTGGGGTTAAATAGTCGCGTTAATGGACGTTGCACTCGGAAATCATCGTTTGTATAGTAGCTTTTCCGAATCATGGCTTTTAGATGCTGTGGCTCAACACACAAAATTAATTCCTTCATGCATGTTTCTTCTATCGCGATACTCTGGATGATGTGCACTCGTGACACTCACAACGACTCCGCGCAGCCAGCCGTACGAAGAAGCCTGTTTCTACTCGCTGTAAATCCAAATATCGAAGCCTACCCCGAAGATATCCTGTGTATTCTATGTTGGCGTATGTGACCGTAGAACTTACCCGGATCCATGCATCACACTTCACCCCAATCAACTCAGTAAAAATAATCTCCCTTATGGCCATCGGCATCCTCCTTCCTTTCCGACAACAGCGGACCTCGCCATCCTGGGCAGTAGGCGGGAAGCGACCTGACAGCTCACGTGCGGCGTGGGGTGGGGCTATGGAGGGGCAAGAACGCGAACTACGGCCATCGGCGAGCTCCTGCACGCGGAGCCTCCACTGCCTATGCAACCTAGACCGCGTACGAAGATAAGGGACAAACGCGTTGATGCTGATTCGCCAAAGCCACTTTGTCCACCAACTAGAGTACTCAACTAACTCATGTAATACATGCTCCCGATGCTCCACGCCGCTGCAATCCCTCATGCCGCCGCGCTTGCCATAACTAGTTTGCTTATTCCCCACAAGCCCGACGGACAGGACCCTGAACAGCTAGAGGATCAAGCTTGTGATACCTATTGTGACATTCCTGCCTTCCCTCTCTCTTTTTCCCATTCCTCTCGCCTGTGTTTGTGTCTTCTACGTCTCTCTTTTTCCTTTGATTACCGACAGCACCGCGAGTGGCAAACATGGCGCCGGGTCTCATATCCCCACAACCAGCCGTGTCGAACGATGCGACCAAGTCGCTGAACGAAGTCACGGCCGAGTACGATGATACACTCCGGTTTTACCTGAATGGCACCAAAGTGGTGTTGGATAGCGCGGATCCTGAGGTTACGCTGTTGGAGTATTTGAGGGGGATTGGGTTAACGGGGACGAAGTTGGGGTGTGCGGAGGGTGGGTGTGGTGCTTGTACTGTGGTATGTTTGCCACTTTACTTTATCTCATGGTTGTGGTGGGGGACTCTGGATGCAGAGTGCAAGATAATGATCTTTGGTTCTGGGACCATCGGAAAGATTGGTCAAGATATCAAGGGCGAGAACTGACAATTTGCTAGGTTATATCGCAGTTCAATCCCACAACGAACAAGATCTACCACGCCTCCGTAAACGCATGCCTCGCACCCCTCGTCAGCGTAGACGGCAAACACGTCATAACAGTGGAGGGAATTGGCAATGTAAAGCGGCCACATCCTGCACAGGAGAGGATAGCAAAAGGCAATGGCAGCCAATGCGGTTTCTGCACACCAGGCATCGTAATGTCATTATATGCTCTCCTCCGCAACAATGTTGGGCCAAGCGAACTCGAAGTTGAGGAAGCCTTCGATGGTAACCTTTGTCGGTGTACTGGATACAGGCCGATATTAGACGCGGCGCAGAGCTTCAGCGTGAAGTCAGGCTGCGCGAAGGCAAAGGCCAATGGTGGAGGCGGATGTTGTATGGATAAGGACGGTGCGAATGGCGGGGGTTGCGGCAAGAACATTGATGACGACCAACCGATCAAGCGATTCACACCACCCGGATTCATAGAGTATAAGCCAGACACGGAGTTGATTTTTCCTCCACAGCTACGGAAACACGAGTTCAAGCCATTGGCGTTCGGTAATAAGAAGAAGAGGTGGTTCAAACCAACGACTTTGCAACAACTACTGGAGATCAAGGACGTTTATCCCTCCGCAAAGCTCATTGGTGGCTCGACCGAGACACAAATCGAGATCAAGTTCAAAGGTATGAACTACAACGCCTCGGTATTTGTCGGTGACATTGCGGAACTACGACAGTTCAAGCTGCACGACGATCATCTCGAAATCGGCGGAAACGTTGTGCTCACGGATCTGGAGGAGATTTGCAAAGACGCTCTCGAACATTACGGACCGGTACGGGGTCAGCCATTTGCCACCATCCTTAAGCAGATACGATATTTTGCTGGACGACAGATTAGAAATGTGGGCACACCGGCTGGCAACCTTGCGACAGCGAGTCCCATCTCCGACCTGAATCCGGTATTTGTTGCGACAAACGCGACGCTCGTAGCGAAGAGCCTCAAGGAGACGACGGAGATTCCCATGTCGACGTTCTTCAAGGGATACAGGCAGACTGCACTGCCACCGGATGCCATCATTGCTGGTTTGAAGATCCCGATTGCAAAGGAGAAGGGCGAGTACATCCGCGCGTACAAGCAGGCAAAGAGGAAAGATGACGATATTGCGATCGTGAATGCTGCTTTGAGGATATCACTGGACGATCAGCACACAGTCGAGAGTGTGGACCTGGTATACGGTGGTATGGCACCTACGACGATCCACGCGCGGAAAGCAATGGACTTCCTCCAAGGGAAGAAGTTCTCTGATCTCCCAACACTGGAGGGCGTCATGGACAAGCTCGAAGAAGACTTTGATTTGCGCTTCGGTGTCCCGGGTGGCATGGCGACATACAGGAAGTCTCTCGCGCTCGGCTTCTTCTACAAGTTTTACCATGAAATCCTGGCTGAGCTGCACGCTGAGGAAGTTGAAGTCGATACACACGCAATCGGCGAGATTGAAAGAGATATCAGCTCGGGCAAGAAGGACGACAAGGCGGCTGAGGCTTACATCCAGAATGAAGTCGGGCAGTCGAAGAACCATGTTGCGGCTATGAAGCAGTGCACTGGAGAAGCGCAGTACACTGACGATATTCCCCTGCAAAGGAATGAGTTGTACGGCTGCTTGGTGCTCTCGACAAAGGCGCATGCCAAGCTACTCTCCGTCGATGCCGAACCCGCTCTCGAACTTCCTGGTGTTGTTACGTACGTCGACCACAGGGATCTTGCATCCCCAGAAGCCAACTGGTGGGGTGCGCCGTCATGCGATGAGACGTTCTTCGCTCTCGATGAAGTCTTCACTGCTGGTCAGCCAATCGGTATGATCTTGGCTGACACAGCGAAACATGCAGAGCAGGCCGCACGTGCTGTCAAGATCGAGTATGAGGAGCTTCCAGCTATCTTCACAATTGAAGAGGCCATCGAGAAAGATAGCTACTTCAACCACTTCCGTCACATCCAGAAGGGAGATACTGAGAAGGCGTTTGCGGAGGCCGATCACGTCTTCACTGGTGTAGCGCGCATGGGTGGTCAAGAGCACTTCTACCTTGAGACTCAAGCATGTGTCGCCGTCCCCAAGCCTGAGGATGGCGAGATGGAGATCTTCAGCAGTACCCAGAACCCAGCCGAGACACAAGCATACGTGTCCAAGGTCGTCGGTGTCGCCGCCAACAAGATTGTCACTCGTGTCAAGCGCATGGGTGGTGGTTTTGGTGGTAAAGAGACGCGTTCAGTCCAGCTCGCTGGCATCGTGGCCTGCGCAGCGAACAAGGTTCGTCGACCTGTACGCTGCATGTTGAACCGGGACGAAGATATCATGACTTCTGGACAACGGCATCCCTTCCTCGCTCGCTGGAAAGTTGCCGTCAACAAGGACGGTAAGCTGCAAGCCCTTGATGCAGACGTCTTCTGCAATGGTGGTTGGAGTCAGGATCTCTCTGGTGCAGTCGTCGAGCGGTCTCTCTCCCACATCGACAACTGCTACTCGATACCCAACATCCACGTCCGCGGACGTGTCGCGAAAACAAACACCGTCTCCAACACCGCGTTCCGAGGCTTCGGTGGACCACAGGGCATGTTCATCGCAGAGACCTACATGGAAGAAGTCGCCGACCATCTCAACATCCCCGTGGAGAAGCTACGAGAAATCAACATGTACTCTGCCGAGACAAATATGATCACGCACTTCAACCAAGAAATCAAGGACTGGTACGTCCCACTCATGTACAAGCAAGTCCAAGAAGAATCAGCCTACGCCCAACGCCGCGCGGAAATCGAAGAGTTCAACAAAACACACAAGTGGAACAAACGCGGTCTCTCCATCATCCCCACCAAATTCGGCATCTCCTTCACCGCCCTCTTCCTCAACCAAGCCGGCGCCCTCGTCCACATCTACCACGACGGCAGCATCCTCGTCGCGCACGGCGGCACAGAAATGGGCCAAGGCCTACACACCAAGATGACGCAAATCGCCGCGGAAACCCTCGGCGTCCCTCTCGACTCCGTCTTCATCAGCGAAACGGCCACAAACACCGTCGCAAACAGTTCCTCGACCGCCGCCTCCGCCTCCTCCGACCTAAACGGCTACGCCATCCACAAC